ATTATTGTTAAGTTTTTTTTTGTCATGTTTATAAATCCTAATGTAAACACACGGAGGTATTTGAAAAAAAAATCAATGCACTATATTAAAAACGAAAGAAAAAAAATGAAGGAAAAAATTTATGTGATCTTTCATTAAAAAAAAAAGTATTCCAAAATGCATATAAGTAAATAAGTGCTTTGGCGATAACATAAAATAGAAATATTACAAAAATCCTATGTAATGATTGAAACGAATCGACATTATTTGAAATAATTTTCAATGATATCTTATACTTAATAACATTTGATTAACTTGATCTTCAAGCTTAGAAATAACTTTTTTTTGTGAAGAAAATTTAATCAAATCGATAAATGTGTTTTTTATAACTGCTTATTAACGTAAAATAACAATAGCGGACTCATACATTATTAACAAACATTGAACAATACGATTAATGTAGGTTGAATTAAGCAAAATTGATTCTTTATTGTGCTATTATTGACATAAATAAAATACAAACACAAGTGACTAATGAATATATTTCGATAAAAAATTTGTTCATTGAATTTTTCTTGTTTTTATGAATATCTTTTGTATTTATATGTTTTTCATAGCAGTGTTCAAATGTCCGAAAAAAGAAATTTCCCTCACGAATCATCAAAGTTTAGAAGCAACTACACCAAGCAAAAAAGAATAATTTCCGAACAATATTGAAATTACTAAAAATTCGCACATAGTATACACAACTCTCCATAAATAAAATATAGAAATTTGTTGGAGATTTTCGGTACTTACTAAGACATCACAAGCAAATTTTCATAATTACTCATATCCCACAATGAAATTCCTAGTTGAATATCGCCACAAGAAATATTTACAGAGAAAATTACCAGAACATTGCCAGTAATAAGTGGAAAATACTAAAAGTCAAGAAATCTATATCAGAGAGATCACGGTAATTGCTATCAACTCAAAACGAATTTCTCACGCAATCGTATAGCATACTGAAACATGAAAAGAAATTTTCAGTCCATTTGTTAAGAAATTTTTGATAATTACTCGAAAATTACAGGAATTACTAGAGATGCACTAACTCCTAGAACATCTGTTCTATTCGAAGCTTTAGTGGAAATTCATGAAATACAAAACAAAGATTTCAGGATCGATCGAAAATTCACACTTTTTAGTTTTTTGAGACGAATTCCAGCGGATTTTGAGACCCATGTTTTGCATTAGATAGAAGCTAACAATAGCTTCAGAAAGAGCGTTCAAAACTGATCACTATTGATATGAAAAATCGCTATTAATCCGGTAATTTTCAATACTTGAAACGTTCTAATATTTGATTGGAAATTCGAGGAATTGGTTTATCTGTGCTTACAAAAACATATGTCTAGTATTGAGAATTACAGGACTCCTAGAGATTCTTCATATCAATTGTGATCAATTTTGAACACTCTTTCTAAAGCCATTTATAGATTTTGTCTACTACGAAACGTAGATCTCAAAATCAGCTGGCATGGTCGAAAAAAACCTAAAAAATATAAATTTTCGACCAATCTCGAAATCTTTGTTTTGTATTTCATGAATTTTGACTACAGCTTCGACTAGAACAAGAAAAAACTGAGCATGGCTAATACAAACAATCCAAACAGAACTACATTCTTAGTAAGAAAAAAATCTCATCTTTGGCATCATGTTCTAGGAAGAGGTAAGTTCAGATTTCCAAAAAAGGAAATTACCCAAATTTCCGAAATTTCCATCAGCTTGATAACCATATAGCAGTGCAAATCAAAAGTTTTTAGACATATTGGAAATTTCAGAAATTTCTGTAAGTACATAATTGCGAAACTTTCAGAAACTTCTGAAATTTCCTTTTTTCGGAAGTCTGAGCACTGCTGATATAGATTTCTTGGCTATTAGTTCTTTCCACTTTTTAGTAGTACTGTTCTGGACACTTTTTCTTAGATATGTCTTATCTCGAAAACTAATTAGGAATTTCATTGTAGAATATGAGTAATTATGGAAATTTACTGCTAATATCTTAGTGGGTGCCACAAATTTCCAGTAAATTTCTATAGTTTATTTATGGAGAGTTCTGTATACCTGATGAGAATTTTTAGTGATTCCAATGTTTTTCGAAATTTATTCTTTTTTTTGCTTGATAATTGCTTGTAAAATTTGATGATTCGTGAGGGAAATTTTTTTTCGAAAATTTGAACACCTGTGTATGTTTACGTTAGAATTTATAAACATGAAAAAATCTTAACAATAATACAAAGTTACACTTTTTGAAATATCATTTAAATGGGGATCGACCTTCCAAAGAAGATCACTGATTTTCGAGTTACCACATATTTTCTGTTGATATGAATATTTTTAGATTAACTTATATCAGTAAAGCCGAAATAGAAGCGAAAATAAAAATATTGTTGAGTGTTTAATTGATGTAGTGTAATATTGATCACATTTTTAGTCAAAAAAAAACAGATTAAATAGCAACATCCCGATTACTTTTCATTTATATATAATCTGTCATAACTCAACTAATGTTTGTTGGTAGCACATCGTTAATACAATATTCATCATAGATCTCTTTATCCGGTAAAAATTACATAAAATTCAATGTTTTTGCATGATATTTTGACAATCAATAGATGTCGGTAAATCCTGATCGTAACTGACAACTCGAGCTTGATCAGCTTTACTATAATGGATTTAGCATGAAAAACACAGGCTTTTATCTGATGTCCACTACAGGCATCTTTAACACTTTTCAAGTTCCTCACTATTGATGCGTTAACATTCATTGTCTTTTATTAACAAATTAGATTCTTCATATCTATGTTATGTTAGTAATAGGAGTACTTCAATCTGCTGTAATCCTGAGGTGTAGGAAAGCCTTCATTATTTGGAAGAGTCTCAGCATCGATCTTGAAGATAGATGTGGAATATGTATTGCGTGTCGATGAGCTCGAGTGGAGAGAAAATCATCGCGTAGAATAAAGAATTCCATAGAAAGGTTTATGAACTTCATAAAGTTTACATCAAACTTTCATAAATAACTTTAAGTAGTATGCCATTTTTATAAGCTCTTTTAGGATTTATATCAACTTCATAAACCCTTGAACGGTTATAAAGATAATAAACTCTGGAAAAGTTTACCATTTGTTTTTATAAACGCTTCAAGGCTGTACTATCTTTATGACCATGCAAGCGTTTATAAAAATTTGATGTAGGATTGATAAGGCTAATAAACCCTTTTGTACGATTTATTAATCTAATCTTTGTGTTACAATGTAGCCATGACCACCTACCAACCATAGTCAGACCCTTTATCCTGACTTGTTTTTTTTTTACTAAATGCAGCTATATATCACAAGGAAGTTTTTAATCCTTTGAGGATCGACTTTTTTTTTACAGAAAAAAGTTGGATTTTCGCTTACAAAATAAATTATAGTTGAAAAGTATCACTCATAATTTCTCAATCAGACTTAAAGCTAAAGATACTTCATGTTTATTATGAAACGACAGAAGCAAAACACACATCCAAGAAATATAACAAACAACGATTCAATACCATATGAGGAGGAAAGTTAATGTAAAAAAGTTAAAAATGTAATAAAACGTGAAATTCCTCGAAACAACTAATAATATAAAAACCTACATTGCAATCTTTACATAATTATACAGCATAGATGAGTCATCTTTCTTCGACTAGTGTGTCCATATGCAACATAAATTTGTTGAAGAACTTTTTTCTGTTTGTTGTGTGAGATATAAGAGATGGAAAGTGTCTAGCAATAGATCTAGTTGATTGATAAATCAGTGAAGGATGATCTATTATAGATTTTGGAGCATTATAAGTTTCTAAGACATTATAAATGAGTTATAAATGGCAATCTACAAATTTAAGTTTCTTTTCAGCATTGATTTTATAAAGCAAATATATGATGAACAATGACGAACTATACTAAGTTAAATATATGTATACTCTATCTAGACTACTCTATAACGTCTATATGTGTACCAAGTATGTTAGAATAAAAAATCCATACTAAAAAACCCAGTTGTAGTGTATTTAAGGACTTCTACCCCTAGTCAAATTTCAAAGCCATATATATATATACGGCCACGGTCTCCAAAGACATTGAAACATTCTGAGTGGCTCCCGTATATGTCAGGATATATCGACATCTAGAAATATATTTGTAGTACCTAAAGAATATTATATACATTTTTAAAGTTTATAAGAAAATACTCTCCACTGCCACATGATATTCAATGTTTCTCGATTTATAGATGTCACTACGCGATCAAAGGAAGTAAGTTTAGTTAAAAACAATGATTCATATAAAAAAGGTTTACTGTTTTTCACTGTGTGGCTTTAATTTTTGGGGGAGATCAGAACACTATCAGTAAGTTGTTATGGCAAATATTTGTGTTTATTTTGTAAAAGGATGCTTTAATGCAGTAAACAGACAATGTGAATACTAAAAAGCTTTTGAGTCTTCTTATATTGCTTAAATTCATTCATATAAATAATTAGTTTTTACCATCTTTGAAAAGTTAATGAAATCAATCTGTGACGATATATCTATATGGTGACTAAGAATATCTTCAGAATTTTTCGAATTCTTTTTTTTTTATTTTGTCATTACACATGAAATTAATCCGAGTAGTCATTCACGAAATTCAACTTTTTTTTTTTACTTCGTTTAATTTTTTTTCATGATATATTCAATGTGCGATAAATTTACTAGTGAAATCTATGATTATAAAAACCTTTTTTGTATGGTGAAATAAAATGGCGAGTAATTCGTTTTTACGCATGTTATTTCAAAGGAATATTCCAAGCGTGAATGACTCACATATTTTGTCTAGCTTATAACCTGTGTTTTTTTCAACGCTTTCTTTCTTTTTTATATTTTCGTATCGACGACAGAACACGAGCAATGATACAAAAAAATACTCACCTAGATGCACTATGGGACAAATTATTGATTGCTATCCAAGATATGTTTCAACTTCCATCTATGACAAGAAAGACTTACATGGATTTTTATAAGTCTGTTTTTATCTTTAAATCAATCTTATAATGAATTTTTTTTTTTGGTAATTTATATTTCAGTGCTGTTGACACATATTTCAGGAGTGCTGAATATGACAATGCGTTATTACAAGCATCATCAAATCAATCACAAAAAAAAATTGAATCCGTTAAAAATGCCAATGAAGTCAACGATGTTCAACTTAATATGGGTATTCCTAGTTGTCAAATTTACTTTAATTTACAGAAAACATTAAAAGAACATCTTGAATATATAGTTCAGGTAAATCTATTTCAATAAATATACATTAGCTAGGAGAAGAAGAAAAAATCTGCATAAGTGAATAATATAATTTTGATTTTCATCAGTGAATTAGAATATCTAAATATCACACAATTAATCAGATCGAATTGTTTTCTTATTTTAGTATCAGTTATCATTTGACTTGATTTATTATTATAGGATGGAAGTTATGTATCAGGTGAAGATTTTCTTCGGTTTTATTGCAAAGCTTGGATAAAATACCAGTTAATAAGTCGAGTTGTAGACAGTTTATTTAAATTTATGAATTATAATTGGATTTCTCGCCAACGCGCAGCTGGTGTCAAAAGTATTTATGATATTAATACTGTATGTTTACAAATTAGGTTTTTCTTTTCAATAATATATGATGAATTTTATGTAGATGGCATTGAAAATCTGGCAAGATATGTTTTTTAAACAAGCTAACCATTCACTCACACGAACTTGTCTTACTTTAATCAAAGATGAACGGGATGGAAAACAAATTGATTCTTCTTTAATTCGTGAAGCTGTTCAAAGCTATGGTACATAAATAAACAAATAGATATATATGTCAGCGATCAATCTAAGATTGTAGTTTAAAGTAGTCCAAACTTGAATCAAACAAAAATCTAAAATCAAAACTCAATTTACGTTGTAAAATCGATGTTGAATTCTGGATTTCATTTTTCGATAAAGTACGACGCGAACACGATACTTTTTTTGTGCATAGGCAGTTGACCATAAAAGTTTGACTTCAGGGTAATTCGCTTTTTTTGGACCACTTCTACTTCGGAATTGTACAACCGGCGGTCTCAAATTCTGACCAAAGCTAAATTATCAAAAATGATGTAGTCCCTGTTCGAGGAAAAACTTTTAAAAGTAGATCTTCAGGCATTTTTAACAGGCTCTTCAAAAATAATCGAGTTCTCTTGCGACTCCAGTCTTACTTTGATCGATCGAGCTAAAATTTTTACTGGAGATACCTGAAACAAAGTCTCAGAGGTGGCTTTGAACTTTTTGAAAAATTGATATTTTTTGAAAAGCTTAAAGTCATCTCTGAAACTTTGTTTCAGGTATCTCCAGAAAAAAATTTCAGTTCAATCGAACAAAGTAAGACCGAAGCCGTAAGCAGACCCAATGGCTTTTCCAGATTCCTTCAAAAACTCTGAAGACCTGTTTTTAAAATTTTTATCTTGAATATGTGTTCCATCATTTTCGATAATCTAGCATTGATCAAAATTCGAGTCCGACCGGTTATACTGTCGCCAAGAAGTAGAAGTGGTCCAAAAGAAGCGGGATGTCCTGAAATCAAGCTTTCATGGTCAACTAACTACACACAAAAGAAGTATGCTCATCGAGTCGCACTTCATCAAAAAAAAGTAATTCGGAAGCCAACATCAATTTCACGACTAAAATTGAGCGTTGATTTCAAATTTTTGTTTCATCCAAGTTTTAAATAGTTCAAACTCGGATCTTAGAATGGCATAGGCAAATCTTTGATTGTACGCTGACATGTGCATATATATATATATATATGTTATTGTTGTATTTTAAAATTTTCTTATTTCATCATTCTAGCATCAATTGGTTTCAGTGAAGCTAATATAGATTCTAAAAATAGTCCAACGACAATATCATTATCATCATCACTTGCGATATATAAAGATTATTTTGAAAAAGAATTTCTTCAAGAAACACGACAATACTATGAATTTGAGTCAAAGAATTTCCTTGAAAATAATTCTTTTAATACTTATATTAAAAAAGTAATATCAATGATCTATTGTGTTTTCGTTTAATTCATTGAGGATCATTTTTATAGGTTACTCAACGATTCCAAGAAGAAGAAAATCGTGTACAACGTTGTTTACATCCAACAACATTGCAGACATTAAAGCCAATACTCGAACAAGTTCTAATTAAAAATCAACTCGATGGTATTTATGAGGAAGCAATGAGGCTATTAAAGGATGAAAAAATTGAAGGTAAATTTCTTTTTAAGATCTCTATGTTTATCTTTTCATTGTTTGAAAATTAGTTATTAGAGACGTGTATTGTATGATATTTAGAGTAGCTGCCTAATTCTAGTTCGAATATAAACGGATATTCGAAAAAAGAAAACTATTGGATGTTTCTAGGAATAGATTTAGTTTTAGATTAACTTTCAGATAAATGAAAAAAAATATCCCAATCTCCCCACAATTAAACATGCGCTCTCATCTCCCCGCCCCCATAAAGAGGGAGGCGCTCTCGCCCCCCCCCCCCCATCCAGAGAGAGGCTCGCCCCCCCCCCCCCCCCAATAGAGAGAGATGCTCTCTCTTAATCCCCCCCTCCCCAATAAAGAAAGATCCTTTCTCTCACCCCTCCCCTCACAGAGAGAGAAATGCGCTCTCTCCGTCATCCATACTTGCCCCCTCCCCCATCGTTTATATGAATTATACTCATCTGAAATTAAAACTAAAACTGTATCTATTCCTAACTTTCATCAGTTATTTTAGAATTGATAGCATGCAGTTAGGTCTCCATTTATATTCGAACTCGAATTAGGCAACTACATGGATTTTTATGTACACTGACTTAGAAAAATTTTCTAACCCTTATGCAACTCTCCATAATAAGGTAGAATAATCACCCACAGCTTTATTAGTCACATCAATAGCAAATTAAACAAAGGAAACTGTTCATAACAGCCATCCTTCTGTTTCTTCAAATAACATAAATTTTGTCGCACTGACTTCTATTAATTATCAATAGGTCAATTTTTCTCAGAGTTAAAGCCCAGTCAAAACACGACTTTTAGCAAATGTCTGCTGCAAAATTTACCTATGCAAATTCATTGTTTTTCTTTTCTTCCAAATCAGAAGGCTACCAAAAGAGTTACTGCCCAGAGGTCCGAATGGGCTGGGTTAAACTTGTCGGCCCAGTCTAGTACAGCTTATCTTTGAGTCAAAGTTTTATTTGAAAAGAAAAACATAAGCTGAGCTAGTTGGGCCGATTTTTGTGATGGACGGTCACGAGCTAACACTTGGATAAAAACAAAAACCTTTTAAAAGATATTGCATGTCTTCTCAGAAAAATTACTTTTTTTAAAAAATTTTATTCAATTTTTTCGTTGACTCAACATTTCTGCAATGAACAGCGAGTGAATATATGAAGCCAAACAAAAAAAAAACGCATAAAATCAGTTATTCATACCAAGACATTTCGTCGTTATTCAACAAATGCCATTGTCTCGTCTTCATCTTTCATGAACAAATATGTCATCATCGATTAGTTTTTCTTATTTTAATTCTATTTCGATTGATCCTTCTTACCCATGAATTTCTGTTGTCGTCTGCTCGCCAATGAATACTGATAAGGGTGTTAGGACAGGAAGAATAAACACGCGGACCGACACCCGTACTTACACTTGCATCCCACACCATAAATCGTGGTTTAATCAATAAAATAAAAGGATAGTTGACAATAATAAATAATTTTGACTAGATTGACAAGTTAACTATCTTTAAAAAACCTTTTAGCATGATAGATCACCCATGGATGGTCCATGATCTGGGCTGGACCAATGATTAATAACCCATGGGCTGACATTCGTCGGTCCAGCTCAGCCCATCCATAGCTCCATTACTATCATACCATACTTCACTAAAAAAAAAGCATGCTTTGTATACAATCATTGCTTCTCCACTAAGAATCCAGAATCTCAATTGATTTAATTTTCATATATAGGAAATTTTACTTTAAATCTTTGTTTTTGATAGATTTACATATTCTATTCGGATTAGTTAATCGGATAGAAAAAGGCAATGAACCGATCCAAAAAGCTCTCGAAAAACAAATATATGACATTGGCATAGATATGATTAACTGTAAAAATGCTACAAAAGCCAAAGTAAATAAAAGTTCTATTCTTTAATGATTTTCATTTGCTTTTTATTTCATTTGATTAGGATCCTAAAACCTATATTGAAACAATTATTGAAGTTTATATGAGATTTTTTAAAATTGTTAAAGAAGCATTCGATTGTGAACCTGGTTATATTACAGCTCTCGATACCGTAAAAATATTCATTTTTATTATATATATTGTTTATTTTTGTAATTTACAGGCTTGTAGTAAATTTATTAATGATAACGCAGTAGTACGAGACGCTCAAAAATCAACAAAATCATCTGAATTATTAGCTCGCTATTGTGATTTAATATTACGAAAAGGGTTAGTTCAATTTTAATATTAAAAATTTGTAATTTTCATAGCATTTTTTTGTACAGGAATAAAATTGAACAAAATGATATTGATGAAAAAATCAATCAAATTATGGTATTATTTCTTATTTAATCATCGTATGATTAGTTTATTTTTATATTTTATAGATAGTTTTTAATTACTTACAAGATAAAGATGTTTTTCAAAAATTTTATGGAAGATTATTAGCAAAACGTTTAGTTGAGCAATTAAGTGCATCAGATGACTATGAAGAATCATTAATATCAAAACTAAAAGTAAATAATAATGAAATATTTTGTGTCTAGAATCTTTTCGTTTAGGCAACTTGTGGTTTTGAATATGCATCAAAATTACAACGAATGTTTCAAGATATTCGTCTTAGTACCAGTTTACTTAAGGAATATGAAGCAGATTGTAAAGATCATCATTCTATTAAGATTTGTATGATCAACCAAAAGATTAATTGTTCTATATTATCTTTTTTTTAATTTCAGTTGATTTTTCTGTTATGGTTCTTACATCAAATTCATGGCCATTTACAGTTCCATCAACTTTTAATTTACCAATTGAAGTAATATTTTTCAATACTTATTTTTTTTTAATTTCATTTATCTTTTAGCTTAAATCAACATTAAATGATTTTGAAGTTTTTTATTTGAAAAAATTTAATGGTCGTCAATTAAAATGCCTTCTCCAATATTCAAAGGGTGAATTACAAACCTTATATACTAAACCAAAATACATTCTACAGGTAAGAATTAACTTATTCTATAAAATAATTTTTCTTGTTTTCTTTAAACATAAAAGGTATCAACATATCAAATGACTGTTTTACTTTTATTTAATGAATTCAAAAATATGACATTTCAAAAAATGTTAGATACAACTCAAATCGATCCTGAATCATTCACACAAATTCTTGTGAGTTTATTAAAAAGTAAAGTGTTAACATGTGCAGGAATCAATGCAGATACATTAAATGAAAATTTAAACGAAAGTGGTATTACAATGAATTCTATTATTGAAGTCAACCAGAATTTTCATAGGTTTAATATTAATTTTAAATTTCGAAATTATTACATTGTTTTTTTTTCTCTTTAGTAATAAAATTAAAATTAACATAATTAAACCAATAGGATCAGCTGCACCAAATCCAATCGATTCTAAACCTATTTATGCATCAGTTATTGAAGATCGAAAAATAGTTATTCAAGTAAAAGAAAAAGAAATATTTTTTTTTAATTATTTGTAGTAACTTTTTTAGGCTGCTGTGGTTCGAATAATGAAAACTCGACAACAATTAAAACATGCATTATTAGTACAAGAAGTTATTGAACAATTAAGTTCAAGATTCAAACCTGAAATTCCTATGATCAAGGTATAATTTTTATTGCTGATTACAAAATAATATTGATCGATCTTTTATTTTAGCAATGTATTGATTTATTACTTGAAAAAGAATACTTGGAACGAGATTCTAATGAAAGAGATGTCTTTCGTTATTTGGCTTAGAGTGACTATAACGATAATATTTCGTCATATTCCATGACTGATACCGAATAATGTGTTTTTTAATGCCGTGATTTTTCTAATTTTGTAATATTTATTTTGTGTTATATATTTATGGGTTTCAGTTTTTATTTTTTCACAAAAATATTCTAGGATAAAAAAAAAGATTAGTAATTTATTCTCTTGTGATACGTATTGTGAAAAGAACTGATAAAATTTCATTGTTTTAAACACCGCGTTTCCTCAGAAAACTTGATTTTCACCAAAAACATGATTTTTGAGACAAACATATAAACATGTTGCCTGAGCTGCCTAGTGTACAAACTTATTAAAATAGTTTTAATTCTTGAAGATTTTGGAAGTTTTATGAATGATCTCTGAAACTATCTGGACAAATAATGATGTCTAGAGCAATCAGTAAAATTTTTTGCAGAGTTATATCTGCACAATAAATAAATATTTTTCAGAAGTAATCAAATCTTGTGCATCTTAGAGATACATTTTTGAAATCTACAATAGCATAATCGTGTGAGTGTTGATATTCTCTTCATCCACATAATCTATTGTGATGTATCTCGTACAAGGACAACCTAATGTACAAAGACAAGTGGCTTGATTGACATGTAATATATTTATGCTTCATCTCCATTTTAAGTAATAATAAAAAGACTATATTAAAAAAAAACTTCTTTTACGTTTTTCTCAAAATTAATTTGTTCGATAATGATCGAACTTTGGACAATTGTTTTTCTTAATATATTCTATTCTAAAGAGCTGTTTTTTTTGTAATCGATAAATATATACATAGTCCTTCAGATGAAGGAAAGAAATTTTCTAATGAATCGTCAATGTTAGATAAATCCTGAATTTCCTGGAAAATCATGCCTAGCAACTCTAGATTCGTGAAGTTTCGATGATCGGAAAAATGAAACCGAATAAAAATTATAAAAAACTCTTTCCTTCATCTGAAGTGGTAAGAAATTCTATTTCAAATGAAAACAAATCGAGCTCTGCAGCTTGAAATATATTAATAAAAAATTTGTATGTGTAAACGACCTGCTTTGTAGTTTGATCTCTGGAAATCTCCAAAATAATAAGGTATGGAGAAATGAAAACTTTTTATTAATGTATTTCCATGACTCGAATATTTATGCAACATTTTATCAATGTCTCATGTATCTTGTCGAAGTTAGACTTTTTTAGAGTGAGAGGAGAAGGAACCTTACGGATTCATTAAAATATATATTATGATAATTATTTTCTATATTTTACATACTATTGTCAAAGATTAAGAAGATACTCATTTTAATTTAAAAAGAAGGATTTTCAAAGAAGATTTACTTTGAATGACATTTTTTAATAACTTCTCTATATGAGCCACGTTTGAGTCATTTTTCGACAAAACTTTATGATTGATTTTATCATTTGCGGGCATCTTCTTGTCATCATCATAAAACATTTTTTGACAAAATTGTACTAAATGCTGACAATACGGTAGACCACATTTAGTTCAATAAAAAACAAGACAAGTTCATTTGTTGAATATAACTATCTATAATTTTTTTCACTCAACAAGTTTTTTTTACAAAAAGAAGAACACATTGCAACCAATACAAGTCTGTTTGGTGTCCATCCTTATGTTTTTTTTCTGCTACTATTCATATGTTTGATATTTAGGTGTGACCGAAAGTTCTGGCAACGTTGCTGAGAATCTTATAAACCTGTTAACATTTAAGAATCTGTTGTACGAATAAATAGTAGAATATCTTATCTATAATAATATATAATAAATCTATTTTGGTTTTATTTCTAATATTCTTCCAGCTAAAATCCATTTCCAAAAAAAATTTTGAAAAATGGATAATGAATTTGATCGATATTATGTTAAAACTCGAACTATTTTGAGAATAGATCCAAAGACAATTCAAGAGAAACTAACAACATCATTGGGACCTAAAGCTCCATTGTATTGAACAGTTGCAAGGTGGGCAAAGCTTTTTCAGGAAGCAAGAGAAGATGTCAATGACGACCTTCAATCTAGTCGTCGGGTTTTCGAGATGACAGATGGGTGTGAGTGTGGAATGCAGGTGTGGGTGTGGATGGGTGTAAGTATGAATGTGAGTGTGTGTTGTTGTCGAGTGTGCTTTGTCCTTTATTGTATACCCACACTCACACTCTGCCACAGGCGAGACTTCTATTCAGAGTTACAGCTAGCATTAATCCTAGACAAGATGTCGATCTATTGAATCTGTCACCGGAGAGCATCCAGTATCCAAAGTAGCTAAAATGCTGTTGTATTCTTCCTTTTTCTTTCTCCTACTAAATTTCCTTTGTCATATTTGCGTGTAACTTTTGAAGTGAACTCAACTATACTGACGCATATAGGTTTTCGAAAATATTTTCTTGAGAATGATTTAATTATTAACCAACATTACAATGTCACAACATTCATGATCAACTCCCCGCAAAAGTATTATAAATGGCTGATCATGGCAATACAGCAAGAGGAAACTGTGTTGTCCGATTATTATTTACAGTTGCCGCGAGAGGGATCACAATGTTTCGTCGTCTGATGAATCTTCTAAGCCGTTTTGTGATCTTCACTCTCACTTCGGAGATGGAGACAATGCATACAAGAGGTAATAGTAATGCAAGTAACCAAAAGAGATAATAGAAGTACACTGTTTGTATGTACGCGGCAAGGGTAGGCAAACCTCCAAATAGACCGATGAAAGGAATGAGGGCGTATGGAGCCACCGTTGCACAATAGAAAGTTGACAAAATCAGCAGCTGCAAAATCATCTTGCGATATTTTCGCCACTGAATAGGTTGGTGCATATAGACGCGCTTCCTGTACAATACTCGAATGATCATACCAATACTGAGAAAAATGTTAAAGAGCAGAGGAACCAAATTATGAGCCAACAGATCGAATGTAGAGATCACTGATTCGAGAGAGAAGCAAGGTAGACCACAAAGAACCGACAGATAGTTGGGGTTTGGCTCGCATGGATACAAAAAAATCACTATGGCGTAGAAACCAGCGATATAGATCACCAATATTATGAGTGGCATGTAATGCAGCAACCGACGACGTTTGGATGTGTTGAACAGATGTGAATGAAACACTAACAAATGTCGCTCTATCGACATCCACCACATGAGCATATTGTTAAGACTACAAAGCGTAAAATCGCACCATTGCCAAATGAGACAGTTGATTGTTGTTGCTGGTGTGACGACTCCTGTATAAAGAAAATTTAGAACGCGAGGAACTTCGATCGCATTCGTCAAAAGACTGATGATGAGCAAGGCCAACACGACGTGATAATGAAGTGCTCGACGAAGAGCTTGATCAACAATGAGATGATATACAAGAAAAAAGTTGCATAGGAGTGCAGGAGGTTCAAGAGAGACGAACAAGACCAATTTGCCGAATCTTGTTGAAAAATTTTCAAGAAATTCAGAAGAATCCGTATTATTTTGACTCACAGATGACATCTTATGCAAATATAAAATAAAAAAATCAACATAATAAAAGATATTCTATTCTTCTGTTAGAACGAACAGTCAGTATTATGCAGTTGTGACATTAGCAGACCCTTTTCTTTTAATATGAAACATAATGAACATTCTCCTGTGGATTTGACATATCCCATTTTCAGGCTTATGAATGCTTCTTTCGCTTCTTCATTGTGACAATTCTTTTCAGTAGACACTATCAACTACACACATTGAAAGGGACACTTCAGATTTGTGTATTAGGGAAATATCTCTTCGCAATAATTATCCTCAATGTCTCTGTTACAGTGCATTTCTATAACATATACCTCAATTCTATCTATTCTCTTTTTTTTAAATATTTTTGTTTCCGTTATTTCATTTCTATTGCTTTTCTTTGTCCTTGATTAACCTTTCTATTTCTTTCTACTTGTGTCCTTGTTTTTCATGTACGTATATAAACTTTTGTTTTCTCAAAAAATAAACGGAGAGAGAAGAAAAAACATACATCTTTAACCGTGTTCGTCGCTCTTCGTGAGCGTGAACCCTAACAGTCTCTCAAAGCGCGCTTCTGTGAATGGCAAATTTGCACAAAAATCCATGTTTCACGGGGTTTGGCCAAATTTTCAATCGGTGAGGAAGATGATTATTTTGTATGTAGAACAAACAAGAGGCATCAAAAACAATAGTCTACCGTACTGCAGACGCTAAACTGAGAAAACCCATCCTTCGATTCAAATACGGAATGGATAAATTCTACAGTCAAAATGATTAGAAATAATCAAAATATGATTATATCTACAAGAAATATGCTTTACTATTTCACTTTTGCGCAGACTTTAACAGCGAAAAAGCGAAAATGAGGCACGATAGAGTAGCTGTCTAATTCAACTTATAATATAAATGGAGCTCGAACAAAATTCAAAAACATCTCCTAATCTTAAAATAATAAAAAAATTTTCTCTCTTCATTTATCATTTATGATAAAGTTAACACATGGTCACTGAACTCCAAAGGATTTTTCTTGTTACCAGTGAAGTATTGTTCATTTCTCAAACTTACGAATGATATACAAGAAGGAAAAGCGCGGAATCCTCGAATCCTGGAATTGTGTAGAATACGATGGAATCCAATGAAGTCCCACGAAATCCTGGAATCTCAGAGAATCTTTGGGGATCCTATAGAATCTTGAGATTCTCAGTCTGAAAGCCCTTAAATGTACTACTAGTGCAGGAAAATCTGTTAAAATATAGTAACAATTAATAGAACATTCTAATAACATTTTAAATAGTTTCCTCATTCAGAACGTCTTGTTTTCAAATCTTGAAGTTGCAAATTGGCCTCTTTCAAGATATATTTTACGTTAAGATCAGCAGAATAGAACATAGTTGATAAATATCAAAAATGAAAACAAGAAAGGCTTGAATATAAACATTTTAAAAAAATTCAGCAATAGAAGAAGGATTCATAATAAGGTCACTTCTACTTGGACACAATGGCAT